CTACCTCAGAAGGTGCTGTTTTCACTCCGTTCACCAGATGCTCTGTGCCATATTTAATTAGATTGTAAGCTAAGTAGTAGGGAGGGAGTGTCATCCTGTTCTGTGTTCATACCTAGCCCCCTGGAATCCTGTTCTACGAGTGGGCTACAAAGTGCAATAGCACCCATACTTTACCCTGCTGTAAGTGTAAAATGGGTAGCGTTTTATGCTCACTTTGTGCAGATGCACTCAACTCCGCAAGGTAAAAGGCGATGGAGTATCAGGCCCAGCAAATTTTTTTCCTGACAGGAACTGCAGTTACTTAATAAAATGTGTTAACAAAATAATACCCAATCATCTGAGGCACTGCACAGCAGGAGCGTGCTGAATGGAGCTATTCCAAGACATTTAAAAGCAACCTCAGTAACTAAAAATAACAGGGCCCAGCTGCAAAAAGGGTACATGTGTCATCTTAGAAACAGAACTAGGGCCATATATAGCACCGAGGGAGAGAATTTAGGCCTGATCTAGCTTGATCTGAGATGTTTTTTAAACGGATGTAGGTAAGGTGGTGCAAAACCCCATGATGATGCTCATATGTTGGTTTTGAGTGGCTTATATCATTGAATTTATGTCAATTCCTTCTGATATAAGCCACTCTTAAACTGAAAGAAGAGTGGCTAGAGTGCTTTGCACCAATTTACAGTAACATTGTTACAAGTTCTGCATGGGGACAAGGCCTGATTGTGCTTGAGAGTTGTAGGAGGCATCATGACTGCTGGATTGAGGGATGGTAAATACATCTAGACTCTGTGTTTCAATGGACACAGGAAGTTTGTACTTGCCCAGGAAGGGGAATATATGGGCCTAATGCTGTACTATGCCCATAGTCTGGGTTTGTAGTGTGGTGGAGTTTGAACCAGAAAAGTCAACTCCTAAGATATTAAATAAATAATTTAGAAGCACCTGTACTTTTCTGCAGAAATTTGCTGATGCTCCATGTTCTGTTTCCTACAAGCTTTTGTATGGTATTCAGTGTCATCCTACCAGAGCCCCCGGTGAACATTCGTGCATTCAGTTACCCAATACCCCTGGAAGGGAGACCAGGGAACAGCAAAATTAACACATCTCGTATAATGGGGCAGAGCTAGGAACAGAACCCCCCTCCCACAATCCTCACTCCTAAGCTACTGTCTTAACCAGGAGCCCAGCCTTCCTCCCAGCTTTGTTTCCTGTGCTATGAATGTCAGAGCTTCAGGGTAATTGCACCTCCATCCCCTCCCTCCATGGTCCACTCTAGGAGTGCTTAGATCTCCAGCCATCACCTGTCTCCGGAAAGGGCCCCTTGTCCCACTCCCTTCTGAGCAGAGGGTGGGGGTTTATGCCCTGCCTTATACTGTGATATCCCCAATGTGCCAGTGCGTTGCTTTCTCTCTCCAGTGGCCATGAACAGTGTATTGCCCGCAGTTATAAGTTACCACACAGCTCTTTCTAAGCATGCACCTTTATTCTTAAGGTTAAAGCATCACATGAAAAAACAACTAACAGATTTAGAGACACTAAACATAGGTGCCATCCTAGGTCTTATGGGGCCCTAATAGGCCAAAGTCTCTCCAACTCTTCCTCAAAGTGTGTGTGTGTGGGGACTCCTTAGACAGAAGGTCCTGTGTGGTTGGTGGGTCAGAAGGAAGGTTCAAGCTCATCCTTTTATATGATAGTCCCTTTCTTTGTCTCATACTCTCTGGAAAATCCAGCTTGAACCACCACAAGAGGTGGAATTTCTCTGGAGTTGTTTACTAGCTCAGGGGTTATCACTCCCTCCTGTTTTAGTTCATGTAAGAGCTGTGGTCACCCTCCCCACTGGAGTAGAACACAATTAGACATAAACCACTCATAAATGTAATGCGGTGAGCCCTGAAGAGATACGTGGGGTTGCAATGTCTGTCACAATGAATAAAAAGTCTTCCTGATCAAACAGGGCTGAGTTAAATGTTTAATTACAAAATAAAATTCTACCATGCCGACCTTTGTTGCTCCCTAGTGGCTAGTAAAGAGCAATGTGGGACCCAAGTCCAGGTTTTAGTATAGCGCAAATATAGGCAATATTTTAGTGGAAAGACTCACTAGCGGTGGCTCACCCTCCTTAGAGCTGAGTTTACTCTGAGTTAATTGCGGATGGATTCTCTGCGGAGCTAGGGGTGTCCCTCAGTGTTTGCCAGAGTGATGAGTCTCCTGCTGTTTAAGAGCCCCACTCCCCAACCCTGCATTGCACCCTCCGTGGTTTATTCCCCTTGGTCGCTTCTCCCTGCTGTGCTTGCCAGTGTACAGATGGTAACAAGCAAGTGCCCCTGGGACACAGAACTCTCCAGATTCCCTCTTTAAGGCTAATGCCAGAGCAAGCAGCATGCTCTGCAGAGAGCATGCATGTGCACCCCTTGCCCCTCAGATCTGATTTATTACTGGGTTCTCCCCTTCCCCTTTATGGCTTTCTTACCTAGCCTAAAGTCACAGGGAAGCTCGGCAGTGTAACGGGGGTGGGAGCGATGCAATGTACCAAGTACCCCAACAACTGCCTCCACTGCGGGCTTCCTGCCCATGCCATTGAGCCTGGACCAATCCTGCAGTGCTGGGGTGAGTAAATCACAGGGCGCTCTGCCTGGTTAGGGGCTGCAGGATCAGGCCCTGGGAGTCACAGGACCCTGAGACTTGATTGTTCCAATGCAGGGGGACCCTCTGAAGTTAGTGCCTTAAAAGCCACGGGACGGATGCTGCTCCCATTGGATGCAATGGGACTTTGGCCATTGACTTCAACGATGTCCTGCACTGCACTGCAAACTGGGAGACAGCAGATCCAGCCAGCAAAGGCTCCAGCATTACGTAGCTGCTCACAGAAACAGCACATTTTCTCTTCAGCCGGCTGACTGATTCCCTGACAGGGTTTAATAATGGTTTCTTGCCTTATCATCTATCCATTTAGGGGAGCTTATTATTAATCCTTCCCTAGGTATAAACTCTGTTCTTCCATCAGTTACTTTCTGAACCAAGTCTCCGAATCCAGGTTACACCTGGTCAGGTAGGATGACAGCGAGGGGAAGGTGCCCAGCATGACCTGCATTCACTAAATGACACCGACATCCTCAGCTCCCGCTGTTTGTTTCAGGAGTTGTTAGAATTTAAACCAAAAAACCTTGTTGCAAGCCCCTTATGCAGTTATAGCGATAGGAAGCCCAGGCGCTGAGGCTGGGTGGGAAAGATGGAGCTTGCTTCATATAGAAATCAGAATATTTCCTTCCCACCTGCTTGGAAACATCTAACAGATTTTATGTCCAAGCGCCTTTCTTGCTGAACTCAGCCTGAATTATTGCTGAGATGTGACACTGAAAGTTTAGCGCAGGGTTGTTGTAGCCGTGTTGGTCCCAGGATAGTAGAGAGACAAGCTGGGTGAGGTAATATCTTCTATTGGACCAACATCTGTTGGTGAGAGAGACAAGCTATGGAGTTTACACAGAGCTCTTCTTCAGGTCTGGGAAACCTACTTCGTGTCACAGCTAAATACAAGCTAGAACAGATTGTTTAGCAGAGGTAGTTAATGCATATTTCAAGGGACCATTCAAACACCTCTCCACCTTGAATTTAGCTGTGACTCTCTAGTACATTTCCCAGACCTGAAGAAGAGCTCTATGTAAGCTCCCAAGCTTGTCTCTCTCACCATCAGAAGTTGGTCCAAGAAGAGATATTACCTCACCTGCCTTGTCTCTGAAAGTTTAGCTTCATTATGGCAATTTCCCTTTTCCCACTTCAGTCCTTAAATCCTGCTTAAAGTCATTGGAGGGGGGGAGGTAAGGACATTCATGTGATGGAAAAAGTCTTCATCTGTTTATTTCATGACTCTATGCGCCATCAAAAACATGGGCCTGTAGAACCACTTGTTTTCAGTAAACACCTAATTTGCAGGTTCACATTTCCTCTCGTTTTACTTAAAACAATAATTAAAACAAAATTATCAAAAATCACAGGTGTACTAACTCAGAGTTTAGTGGCCACCCCACTTCGTACACATCAGTGAAGAAGGCTGTCGCTCCCCATTCACATGTGTCACACACTCACGATGGGGGAGGAAAAAAGACTGATCCAGGCAGGAAAGAAACAAGGGGATATGATGAAACCACCTTGGGATGCTGGAACGAACCCAGGAGCTGACCCGGGAAAGGAGCGCTCCTGTTCAATGCATTAATCAGCTCTGCACCTGTCAGCTTCTCATATGCTAGTCACCCACTCTTCCCCTGGTCATCGTCTACCTTTGCCTGGTCATCTGTGACCACCCCCTGCTTCTGATTCCTCCAAGCCCTGCTCTGCACAGACACGTGTCAGGCTCCAGTGAGTTACCCTCAGCTGCTCCCTGGGCAAAAGTGCCTGATCAGATACCCCTGGCTACTCTCAGTGCTGGGTTTGATGTCTAAGGAGGCTCATCCTGAAATTAACAAGGAGGGATAGCTCAGTGGTTTGAGCATTGGCCTGCTAAACCCAGGGTTGTGAGTTCAATCCTTGAGGGGGCCACTTAGGGCTCTAGGGCAAAATCTGTACTTGGTCCTGCTAGTGAAGGTAGGGGGCTGGACTCGATGACCTTTCAAGGTCCTTTCCACTTCTAGGAGATAGGATATCTCCATTCATTTATTTATTTAAAACCAGTGGTCCTGCCAGACCTGACTGGAAGGGAAGCCCCGGCTTTCTAACCATTGTACGGGAGAGAGGGGCTGCTCCCCTCCTGCAAAAAGGGAAACACTGCAGCCATTCCGGTGTTTATTTAACACGCAAGGGCTTTAATGCGGAGTGAAGAGCAGGCTTGCAAGATTACATGGCTCCCAATGGGGAAGGAAGCGACCTCAGCTGAGCCTGACTCCAGGTCGAGAACCAGGCGATCTCTCCCTTGGCCGCTAGGCGGCGCTGCAGCCTCGCACTTTCCTAACCCTGAAAGGTAAGTAAGTGAAATGACATTTTTGGCTGGGGGAATGGGGGAGAGCTGTTTAAAGCCAGGATTTCTGGGCTGGACGCCCCTCTCTCCTCACCTGAACTCCCAGATCGAAGGGGGCAGCCTAGCCAAGGCGGGGTGACTTGGTTTCTTCATCTTCCCGTTGGAAAGAGGCGGGCTGGGGAGATGACACAGCCAGTGTGGGAGTGAGTGGGACTGGAGGAGCTCGTAGGGAGGGTACAGGAATGTGACGAGACCAGAGCCACTCCGGAGAGCTCTTCCCTGGCTCATTGGTTTCTCGAAGCAAGTCCGGGCACTCGAGCAGGGCAGTTAAGAGGCTTTCCAATGTAACCCCCCAGCCCCGCCTGTTGCTGCTCTAGTTTAACTAAGGAACCAACAGCCTGAGAAGCGAAGCGAAGCAGCCGCCCCCTTGAATCTCTCTCCAAAGGGAAGCTGCCCTGCTGGTTCTGCGGCTGTCGGGGCGAGAAGGCGCCTGTGGGATGCGCTCCTAACTCCGCTGCCCTAGCCACGCTCACAGCCTTGTAACCAGCAGCCGCGGAGGCAGCCCAGGTGATCGGAGTGAAACCAAGGACGCGGCAACTCCAGGCATTTGCTCCGCCCGGGGGAGTTTTTCCAGCAGCTCCTGCCCTTGCCCTGGCTGGTGAAGGAAGCACCAAGCCGAGGACTGTCTCCAGCGAGCTGGGGCAGGGTTTCCTGAGGGGTGGGCGCCTGAAGTGATTTTGGATGGTTAGCAGGGGAGCAAACCCCCCTCGAGCATGGACCTGTGCTTGTGAGCTCCCTGGCTAACTCCCCGGTGCGCTGTGCGGGAGGAGGTAAGCTGCATGCACTCGTGCTGGGCTCTACACCAGGGCATGGGGGTTTTGTTTCGGTAGGAGCCCCTGTTGAATGGTTCCCCTTCAAACTTTATGAGCAGGTGGGCGGAGTCGTTTTGTTTCTAAGGGGGTAATACAAATTCTCTTTCTCCCCCCCCCCCGCCGCTGCAAAATTGCTTTAGAAGCTTTTTAATTTTAAAAATACCTCTCCCTCCACAGAATAATGGCTTTGGTTTGCCCCTGTCACTTAAGGGAGGGACTATCCCCCCCCCCCACTGCTTAAGGGGCTATTAATGCTGATCTAAACCTTTCCAAAAAGAGAGAGGAAAAGTTCTCTTTTCTCCCCCCCCCCCCCCAACTATGTGGACCGCCAAATCAAACCCAAAGCAGGACAAACAACCCCCTTGTGGGCAGGTGTGATCTGCTCTCCTGTGATCCACGCTGATCTTTTCTCTCCCCCTCACTCTTTTTATTCCCCACCACCACCCCAAAAGGGGGGAGAGTTGAAGAGTGAAGTTAGTAACTGGGTCACTGATGCTGCCAATAAATCTGCTGCTCTGAGGATTGAAGAGCAGTGATTTCTGCCATTGATTAGGGGCATGACTGGAGATGGGCTCTCAGCAAAGTTTGTTCTAAAGTCTGACTGTGAGGCTGAGAGAGGGGGGAAAGTGTCTGGAAAAAGGCACCTCTGTTAGGCTGGCCTGCCCCCGTGTTCCTTATTCTCCCCCCCACCCCCATTTTTCCTTTGTAAGAATAGCCCCAAGAAAATATTTCATTTGAGATGTTATGAATGTGTGTATACGTGCCTGTGTATATATTGGAGTCATTTTTAACCATCTCCTCTAGATCCAACGCCCGCTGTAATCAATTAATTTTTGTATTGACTTCAATGGGCTTTGGCTCAGGGCCCTGATCCATTACTGTATCCCTAATGACTTAGGTAGCGGCAGGCACCACAAGCCTGGAAGCTGCTGCCCAAGGTAAATAGCGCATGGCAATATGTTCATGAAATGCTGATGCAAACCCCAGAGAGGAAAATGTTCACCAGCTGGGAAGTTATTGAACTCTTGAGGAAACAGGCGGTTCAGGCGGGTGGGGAATCTCCCCTATAAATAGATCCCTGCCCCACGTAGCACATGGCCATCCCTCTAGAGCGCCGTTCTTTCAATAAAAAACCCCCAGAGTCTCTGCTCAATGCCTGTGTTTTCTATTCTGGGTTAACGACAGTCCTCCCACTTCCTTCTAAATCCTCCAAGAAGGGTTGTGGGGCTTGAGCTGTGCTTTAAAAGCAGCTGGTAACTACATAGATCAGTTCCTTCTTTTGTCTCGTGGAGTCAAGATGGACCGGTGGGTGGGTGGCTTAAAATATCCCCCCCCCCCTTAGTATAACAGCAAAGAGTCTAATCCTGCTAGGTATGGGAGCTGCAGGTACATGGTACCTTTCAGGCTCAGGCCCCTTAGCGACAGAAACACTTAAAAACATTCATATCTCCAAGGGAAGCCTAAATCACTAGTGAGAGGCTAGTGATTTAGCACCATGACTGTGCTTAACAGGCAAAGAAGACTCAGCCAGGGTTTTCAAAAGTGAGCAGTAATTTTTTTTGGGGGGGAGGGGGAGAGGAGATGCCTGAAAGGGGCCTGGCTTTCAGAATTATGACCCCCAACCTTCTGGAAATCAGGCCCCTTCAAGTGTCTTCAGTGTGTATGTGGAAATTTGGGGCACCCAAAATCACTAATCAGGTGGGCTAACACCTGTCAGTGCTTCTGTGTCTTCATTGGGCCTAATCCAAAGCCTTTTGAAGTCATTGAAAAGACTCCCATTGAATTCAATAGGCTTTGCATTGGGCCCTGAGTGCATGTGGCTGGTGGGGCCTGTCACTATTGATGCTTCCAAGCGGGACCCCATTTGGTGATGTAAAGTAGGATACCTGGCCAATAGAAAGCCTGGAAATCCGTGTGTTTCAAAGGGTAAATCCTAGAACATAACATCTCTGTGTATTGCGCGGGCTAACCTAACAAGTGTTCACTGGGCCAAAACTGATACCTCATGTTACAACGTCTAGGAAAACCTTGACTTCCAATGCTTTCTAAGGGGAACTCATTCTTTCAGTCCTGCTTTGCAGCATCAAATTGTCCCGTTTGCTCTTAGCTTCTTAAAAAATTAAGGTGCACGAAATTCCTTTGTATGAGTGATTGAAATGCACTGTGTGTGTTATGCTGTGGCTTTCCTTCTCGACTCTGAGCCTGCATTCCCTGGAAATCGACCGCTCAGTCTGAACTCACTGGAATGCAAGACAATGCTCTAAGGGTGAAGGAGAGAGGAAAGGACAATAAAGACACCCTGGAAACCCCATGAAAAGGCTCCCATTGAAGTCAATTGGCTTTGGCTCAGGCCCTGTACGTGTGTTCACAGGAGCACTGTCACTATAAGCACTTTGAAAGGACTTTAATTTATAAGCAATGATAAAATGTGGGTGTAATAGGCTAGCAGTATCTTCTTGAAACACCTTAACCTTGAAAGCAGGTGGCTTGTTTCCCTACCTGGACATAAAGAAAGTAGGGAGGGGCATCTCTCTTGAGAGGATCTAGTGGGTGGGCTGAGCAGACCTGAGGTAGGAACTATAGGAACAGCTAAGCCTGGGAGAAGGCACCTGCTGACTGGTGTGACTAATTTGGCTAATGCCAGACCTGAGGCAGGGGGTGAAGTTGGGAAGATGCTGGCTTGCAATGAGTCAAGTTCTCCTCCAAAGTTAGCTCGGAAGAAGCTCGGGGGTGCTGAGGTTTCAGGTATGATCTAGATTTTGGGCTATCTAATCTGACTGAGCTAAACCTGCATAAAACAAGTGTCTGGCTGAGGAGAGGTTGAGGACAGTGAGAAGTTACTTGTAAGTGAACAAAAATAGTGTCTCTCCTGCATTTTTCTACCTCTTCAGAATTGGAAGGTCCCGGGTGGGATGTTGGTGGATAGAAAATCAGCAGAGTCCCGGGTAGGAGTAACTCCTTGGGAGTTTTATTTATCTCCTATCCCCTCCCCTTCCAGACTGGCTTCTCTAGGCACAGGAGGAGCCGTAGTCTTTATACTGATTTCTCTGCTCCTCTGAGTCCCTCCGTGTCACCAGGCTGCAGCTTGCATCTCGCTCTCATTAAGGAGAAAGTGAGACTGTCATGTACAAATGAACAAGCAGAGACCAGCCCTACACTCCAAGTCAGATCCTTTCTAGCTCTTACTGGTGACCTAAGCCAGTAGCTAAAGAAAGCCTTTAAATAAGGATATTGAGTGGAAGGTAATGTGTGTGTATATATATTGAAAGCCCGTTAGCCTTTCTGGTCTATTTTCAGAAAGGAAAAGCAATCCGAGCCGGTAGCATGTTGAGACCTATAACGGTTCTTGTATGGTAATGTGATTCTGAGGTGTTTGGGCTTGCTCCTGCAACTGCAGCACCTTGACCTCCTCAGGGCCTGGGAGCTAGTCTTGGTGACTAGGTAGCCACTGAGGGGCAAAACCTCCTGCAGAGCCTCTGCTATACAATCCCCATCTCAGTATGCAGGTGGTAGAATCTCCCTCGGTGCACCAGAGGCTGGTGCACCAGGATTGGAGACCTCCTGGATTACAATTGGGGGATGGGGGAACCCTGTGGCACTCCACTTGTGCATGGGGCTCTCGATCCCTCATGTCCCCCATCACGGGCTCCAGGAGGTGAGGGCGGTCCTACTGCCCACCTCTTGCATTTTTCTTGAATGGATCCTGCAGAAGGGTGCTCCCCGCCTGCTCCTCAGCCCAGCCCTTGGGACCTTACCATTCAGCCTCTCTCCTGTGAGCTTCCCTGGTCCCCTGCCCCATGCACCATCTGAGTTGGCTGTGAGGCAGGGTTTGGTGGCTCCTCCCCTTCAGCTGGGGGGAGAGGCCTTTAGATGTGGGTGGGCAGAAGCCCAGAACTTTAATAGGTGCAGTGCCTTGAAGGTGTGGGCTGTAAGTGAGCACAGATGGAGAATGAGGCTGCTCACCGTCTTTGCCTTGAATCATGTGGAGTTATTTGCATTTGTGCAAAATGCTGTCCTTGTGATGGGCCCAGGGATGCATGATGCCAAACAGTAATGCAGGGTTGGGACCAAAGGTCTCTTGGGGTACAGTAAATCAAAGGAATCCAGGATTTCACCTGCAGTCTCTCTCGTCCCGCTGTCATTTGAAAATGGCTGTTATATTTCTCGTTTCCCATGACTCATCTCTGCTCCCACCCAAACCCCACATTTTAAAATGGGATTGATTAGGTCCCACTCCTTCTGACTCTGCCCTAATGCTGGGTGGATGGGCTGTAATCTGAGATGGGCATTGGTCGGTGCACAAAGACTGATCTCTGGAAATTCATAGAATCCTAGAATATCAGGATTGGAAGGGACCTCAGGAGGTCATCTAGTCCAACCCCCTGCTTAAAGCAGACCCAATCCCCAACTAAATCATCCCAGCCAGGGATTTCTATTGCACAGGGATTTCTATTTCTACTGCTGATTCTTTAGTGTGAATATTTGGTGGAACCATTTGGATTTTCACAGATTATTTGGTAACTTCGGAGGACCTTGACTTCACCAAACTGTTAGCAATTGGCATTTAGTGGGGGGGAAGAAATCTGGCCGGTACGTGTAATCTTCCTGAGGAACTCCTCCAACTAATAGTGCCTTCTCATTAGCTCTGGAGTGAAAGTGCTCCTTCATTTTGTAAGTATTCCATCAATGCAAAAATATTGGCTCCTCTGTAGTTGGCTTTTCAGCACAAACGCTTTGCTCTTGGGGGTTGGGTGTGGTGTCTGTGCATGCACACACTAGAAATCTCCAGGTATATCCCAGGGAAAGCTTCTGGTAGCAGGTTTTCTAACTTATTGGGTGCAGCGGAACAAGAGGGGCTTGACTCTGTGCTGCTGCACTGTAGCTATGAACGAGGGTCTTGGCAAGCGATGAACAAGGTTCCATCTCATCTGGGCTTAGAAATCCTGGTTTGAATGTGC